ATACTGCAGCTACACTTTTAAAATTAAAGACAGTCCCAATTTATTTATTCTAGATAAATGATTGTGTGCTAAATAAAACTTGTAGTACTCATGATTCAGATACAATACAATTACTGTATTAATAAACTTTCATAAAAAACCCAGTAAATTTCCTTACATAAATACTCTGAATGGTTACTGTAAACCTTTGAAGATTTGTCACAGGCTGTCAGCTTTGCCTGTGTTGTGGTCGTGGCCAGATCAGGCATGACCTCATTGTCTTCCTCACACACTGTCTCTTGTTTATCACGTCTTCTTCACAAGGCTGATAATGACTGAGTATGTCTCCTATGGCTCAAAGTCTGGTCACTGATCTTGTACACATGAGCATTGACTCATTTCCTCCTTCTGGTGAAAAATTTACATCAGATTAATACAGGGGGTCCTTGGGTTACGAACGGATTTCGTTCCTGAGGACATTCTTAAGTTTGATTTGTACGTTAAGTCGGAATACATACTATGAGCATACTACACTTAGAGAACAATGTTTAAAATCCCACTATTTCATAGCCTAAGTCCTTATATACATCTGAAATCACTTAATTTAAGACAAAAGAAGAAATAGAATGACAAAATACAGTAAATGGAAGTAAAAAAATAAGTTATCAGGTAAATAAAATACTGTAAATTTCAAGTTTAACCTTGTTCATATCCGCGGGCGTTTGTAAGTCAGACGTTCATAAGTCGGGGACTCCCTGTAATAAATGTTAATGCCGACCTTAATGGCCAAGAAATTAGACTGTAAAGTCGTTTTCTGACACCTGGTAGTGTATTACCTTTACACACGGTTTTATGCAGTATTTATTGTGACCCCAGCATATTCTCTGAAGACACTGTACATTTATTTCAGTCCAGTACTGTATCTACAAGTTCCTTAAGACTACTTACACAGTCTTAGAGATTCAGTGTTTTGACTTCACTTCATGAGTCCTCTCAAGAGTTCCAGTGCAGCTTTAAAGCAGTATGTGGACAGTGCTGTGAAGGTCCCACACAGTCCCTTGACTGGCTATCTCTCTCCACAGATAGGCCTGGATAGTGTGATGGAGTCTACTGCCGCGGCCGCTGCCACCACTGACAAAAAGGTTCCGCTCATTAATACCCTGCTGGCAACTTGCACTTTTACCACTGCATGGAAAAATTTCACTTTTAATTTGTATTTTTTAGCGTGACAAACTCTTCCATTTGTCCATCATATTTGTTCTTTGTCTCAAACATGAGAAACTCTCCTAATATTCTTCTCTTATTGTTTCTAAATTTTCAGATATCAAAATATGATACATATTATTATACAAAATGCAATACATTTTAACTTTGATAAATGATAGCTGTATTTGGAACAAATTGGCTTGTTGAGAAAGAGTGTGGAGGGAATGAAGTTGTACAGTTTGAGAAAGTGTGTGTGTTTGGGGAAGACTCAGCATTGGTGGTGGGAAATGATGCACTCTTATAGGAACTGTCATTGGTGAAAGTATAGTGCAGCTTATGCTTACCTTTATTATATACGTACTGATACTCTGGCCATGTTCGGTAGAGGAAATTAAAAAAAAAAAAATTCTGGCATATACTGTATATACTATTGTATGCAGTACAGTATACATATTAAACATATGAACAGTATTTGTGTAATACTGTATCATACACAGGTATAGTATATATTTGCATTTACGTATTCAGTAATGTTGGAGTTAAGATCAGGACAAATGATAGAGTCCGTATGTTGTACACAATAAACAGAGAGAACATTTTGCTCTAACTATGCATTACTGTATGTGTACCTGTACAGTACTGTACTTACTTTCAAGTTAACGACATGCGTGTGTGATACTATATTAATGACACACTCTCTAAGAACAAGTTTCCAAAATTCCATTCAAGTAATATTGTAAGAAGATTTGTTATTTACCTTTTCATTGTAAAATCTTTGTAAAAATAATTAGTAATATGAATGTAGACCAGATGCCTCACTTATGTTACCCACAGCCACAGAAGGTGATGTATAACACATTCACGACTTAACCAGATACTGTAATTTGAGAATACAATACTACAGTATTTTGTACGGAAAAATATATTGAAATTCGTTTTGATAGTACAGGTATTTTTTTTTCGCTATTCAGAACTCATTCGTATAAAGAGGATTTGAAAGATTAATTTATTTAACACTAGACAAAATTATCGCAGAAGAAATAAAAAAAAGACTCAAATGGATTTCCAAAGATTTATACTGTATGAGCTAGTATTGTGAATTTGATGACTTAAGCCAAAACAGAGTACTGTAGAAGAATGCAAGCCAAATGATGGAAAAATGCCATAATTTTTGTATCATATCATGGTAATAGAATGCCTTCCTTCTCAACGCATGCTAAATATTGTGTATGCTTTATTTTTCTTTGTGCCATGGATGGTATGTCTCACAGTTAAGCTAGCATGCACACCAATTTTCACTCTTAATTATCATCCTAAAATGTCGCGGTAAATTGTGGTTATAACTGGTCATGTTTAATGATCTCCCACATTGCAGTATACTGTACTATAGTACTTTATATCCCATTGTTATATTTTCATGTTCTATGGATGGCATTGTTGCCACATTCCCAAAAATACACTTCAAAAGTAAGCATCCTCCATCCCTTCTGCCCCCAACCCTCCCCCTTTAAAAAAAGGAACCTCTCCCATCAACCTTCAGCTACTGTGTGCTGCCCCATCAGGAATGTCTCCCTCGGTGCATCATGGATTAATTTTTGTCATCCCGTTGTCTTTGCCACATCTTCGCCAGTGTAAAACCCATTATTATGTGTATTTTGGTTTCTGTACAGCAAGATGGCATATACAGTAGTACCCCAATTTACGCGGTCAATTGAACCCACAGGATACCGCGGAAAGTGAAAACCTCGTAAAGTGAACAACAGAACATAGGGGATTAATTCCAATAGAGACTGGCCCGACCCCCAAACTCCACTTTTTCCGACACAATACCTATGTTGTAGTAAAAATAACATCTAAATTTTATGATGGTATGCTCACACAATTAATATTTAAGAAAAATACAGTCGCCAGGTTAATGTCCATTCAAATAATGGACTCAAATCCCCCCCCCCCTCTTCCCAGCTCACTAGCTCCTACCTCTCTGAGAAATGTTTGGGTGAAACCACTAGATTTTAACGTTTAGTAATAAATAATACCTCAGACTAAAGTTAGGATAATATAATTGACATTTCTGGATTCCTTGCAGGTCAGGGAATATTTTGAATGTAAACTTCATATATTTTGCACAAAAGATAAAATATTTGCTTTGTGTAAACCAAATTATTACATTAGATCTAAAATTTGTATGTCTAATGCAAAATCCATGATGTTTATATTCAAAATGATCATCATATTGTAAGAATTCCAGCAATGTAAATTATATTCTGGCCGGGTAATTTGTATGAATTTTATGAGCTAAAACAAATATCTTCAGTAAATAAATGAAGAAATATTCTTCAAGGACACTATCTGTCAATCAAAATACCCCACCTCTGCCCTCCCTCCTTTCCTACCCTCCACCCCCCCACCTACCAGAGAAGTGATTGGGAGAAAATAGTATATTTACATTTTTAGTAATAAATAATACCTCGGACCAAAGTTAGGATAATATAATTGACATTTCTAGATTCCTTGCAGGTCAGGGAATATTTTGAATGTAAACTTCATATATTTTGCACAAAAGATAAAATATTTGCTTTGTGTAAACCAAATTATTACATTAGATCTAAAATTTGTATGTCTAATGCAAAATCCATGATGTTTATATTCAAAATGATCATCATATTGTAGGAATTCCAGCAATGTAAATTATATTCTGGCAGGGTAATTTGTATGAATTTTATGAGCTAAATAAAAAAAAAATTATACTTCACCACGTATATGAGTAGATGCACCGTGGAAAGTGAAAGTCCGGTTCTGGCAAGGTACCGCGTAAATGAGAAATCGCGGAAATCGCGGAAAAGTGAAACCGTGTAAAGCGGGGTAATACTGTACTTGTTATTGTTGCAATAATGTTTCTTTGTTGTTGGAGACAATTTTAAGTATCAAAAAGTTAAAAGGTACAGAACTTGAATAGAAACATTTGTAATAAAGAAGCAGTTAGTTGGCTGTTGGTGTCACACACATATTAGACAATAGTTCACAGATTCTACAGTTGAGCCTTGTACACTTGTTCTCGCAAACCAAAATTTCTTCAACTGTTTGGACCAATGTTTGTTTAAGTTAATGTTCGTCACTGTCATGTACTTGTTTAGAGCTCTATACTGTTAATTTGTTGTTCGTGTTTTTGTTATTAGAAGTATGTTTAAGTCAAATTTTCATTTATGGTAACATTTTGTAGTTCATAGTTGGCTTACAAATGAAAAATGATGAGCAGGATTGTATTAAATATAATATTTACTTCAGCCATAGTCATTGTATTTCCTCTTCCCAAGAGAAATAGAATCACAAGTAATAGTTTCTTATATGCTGCATCTTGGATTATTGTCTCTGTAAACTCTGACTAAATCTTTATAGGTTTATTTTTATTTGCAGGAAATTCATAAACATTTTTGTCTCCATATTTCAGTTTGGTGATCCAGGAGTGTTCATGGGAGGAGATTGGAATGTGTACACTTCTAAAGTCAAATTGATTAATTTTTTAACAAGTTTTAATTAACAAAATATATTGCTCAATCACTGTTTTCTTCAGTATGATATGACTTAATATTTCTGTTCTGAAGCAGAAATTTGTACATAGAGTGTAGTATATAAACTGTGTCAATTATTTACTTAATCATCATCAACAATTATTTTTGTTATTTCATGTGAAGGAGGAGGTGGGTGACCTGACAAGTGAAGAAGACTACAGCAGTGAGGCACTGACCACCACACTGAGTGAGGACACTTCTCTCCCCACGTCTCTCCAGCGTCACCTTCAGGAGCTGCAGGTAGACCAGTTATCTAGTTTCTCAGAACTTTTGGTAGATGGGGCTCCATTAATGGAGGCAGGGCAGGTACGGCACCCACATTTGAAGGTTCAGGTAGATGACTCAACCTCTGAGGAAGAGGTTCTCGAGGATGAGGAGGTTTTATCTCGGGAGATAAAAGTAGATGTTACCCCAGCTGCAGTAGATAATGTTACATCATCTGAAAAGGTAGAAGTAGGTGTTCCATCACCCCTGGAAATAGTAGTTGATAATTCTAAATCCCAAGGCCCACCAGTAGAAGCTGTAGCAGCTGTAGTGGATAGTGCAAGTGATCATGGAGCAAAATTACCTGATCACTCCCAGAATGAGGTTTTACCCCAGGAAAACCAAGCTTGTGTTTCACCTCCTGACAAGGAATCTCAAGTAGGATCAGGTCAACCCCAGGAAGAGGCAGAAGCTGATACTGCATTACCTCGAGGAGAAACAACAACGAAAATTGGTGAATCCTCATTAACGGGAGGGTTTATAGACATTTCAACACTCCAGGAAGCTCAGGCAGATATTACCCAACCCCAGGAAACACCGAGCACAGGACAGGAGACTATGCAAAAACAAATTAAAACTGATCAAATAGATTCTGAATCTCCAGAGTCGCCACAAGTTACAGAACCAGACCAGAAGCCTGAAGTACAGCCACCACAAGTTACAAAACCAGAACAGAAGCCTGAAGTACAGCCACCACAAGTTACAGAACCAGACCAGAAGCCTGAAGTACAGCCACGACAAGTTACAGAACCAGACCAGAAGCCTGAAGTACAGCCACCACAAGTTACAAAACCAGAACAGAAGCCTGAAGTACAGCCACGACAAGTTACAGAACCAGACCAGAAGCCTGAAGTACAGCCACCACAAGTTACAAAACCAGAACAGAAACCTGAAGTTAAGCCACCACAAGTTACGGAACCAGAACAGAAGCCTGAAGTACAGCCATCACAAGTTACAGAACCAGAACAGAAGCCTGAAGTTCAGCCACCACAAGTTACAGAACCAGAACATAAGCCTGAAGTACAGCCACCACAAGTTACAGAACCAGAACAGAAGCCTGAAGTTCAGCCACCACAAGTTACGGAACCAGAACAGAAGCCTGAAGTACAGCCACCACAAGTTACAGAACCAGAACAGAAGCCTGAAGTACAGCCATCACAAGTTACAGAACCAGAACAGAAACCTGAAGTTAAGCCACCACAAGTTACAGAACCAGAACAGAAACCAGTCTTGGCTAACACTCGTCCTCAGGAGACTTCAGTAGATCAACAGTCTGGCAACAAAAGTGACTTTTCAGATGATGTTGCACATAAAGAGGAAGCTGTAGTTAAGGCAAAACCAACAGTGGTGAAGGAAGTAACGTTCAAATTACCTTCAGAATCCCCGGTAAGCAGTGAGACAGGAGGAGAGGAAGGTTCATCAGAAGCTACAGAAACTGGAGCTGATATATCTGACTTTGTTTCATTTGCTGAGGAAAATAACCCCCCTGTTGAGCCTGATGCCAAAGCATTGCCAGTAGAAGTTGTTACTGATGTACCAGTAGCCTACTTTGATCAGGCTTGTGGGGTAAATGATAAAGAAATGGAGGTAGAATGCAGAGGCCAGGAAACTCAGACATCATTTGCCTTACCACCACCTGTTCTTGTGACTGAGAGCAAAGAGCACAGTACTCAAACAGAAGAAGAGAAAGGGATCACAGTCGTAGGTCTGAGCACTTCCTTTCGTCACGACAAAGATGGAGCAGAGACACGAGCAGGAAGCCAGGGCCCCATTCAGCCCAAAGTGACAGAAATCCTCCTTGATGCTCTGCTTCCCTCAGAAACACAACTGCTAGTTAAAGACACTAGATTTGTTGACTCAACACCAATGCAGAATGTGGAAATTGAAGGAAGTGAGGCTGGAGCTGTACCATGTATTGTGACTAGTCATGTAAGTCTGGCATTTTTAGGGCTGGAACATCGTGATGAAAGTGGTACCCGTCAATCACAGACATTGACACCTGTTAAGGAAGGACAAGATGCTGTCACATCACCAGATAATGCAAAAAACTCTTCAAAACAAGAATGTAAGGAATCTTTGTCAGCAAAGCATAAAGACTTAGAAGTAATTGCTTCAGTAGATCCCAAAGTAGACACACACTCAGCTCCTATAACTTCTCCATTAGCAACCTCCAATAGTACTCTCACATCAGGTCAAATTGTTTCTGATCAGGTAAGTCACACAAAGAATAAATCTGCCACAGATCAAGCAACCAAAATTACTCCAAAAGATAATTCTGTGAAGGCAATTAATGGAGAGGGTAAACCATCTGCTGAACATAATACAATGCCATCAGCAGAAGTAAACAAACAGCAAACTTTAGTTGATCTAAGTCAACAAGCTTTGCCACGCCCAATTAGCCCAGTGCCCCCTCGTGTACCTGAGGAAGAAGACGGAAATTGTAATTTAAAATCACCTACACAGACTCTTCAGTCACGAGAGCAGCACGAAGATGCAGCACCACATCCAGTAAGTCCATCCTTGGAGGCCATTGCAGAAGCAGTGGCTGCCTCTACAACTCGTGCTGCACTGGAGCTGCTCGCGACAGCCACCACAGACACCTCCAGTCCACGCCAAGAGTCACAGGCTGTAAGCAGTCGCCCAGCTGTACACACAGAGGAGGTTCAGTCTGATCAGTCCCCTATATCCACAGATGAGTCCTCCTCAGCCACTACAGTAGTAGCCATTAGTGATGTAGAAGAGGATTTAGGAGCTTCTGACTTACGTACTCAAAGTGCAACAGAGACTCTTGGCCCTGATGCAACTTCAAAATCATCCACAGTTTCCATAACCACCATCACTCACACACCTTCAGACTCCCCAGTTTCCACACCAACAGAGGAGGTAACACAAGAGAGCGTGGAAGCTGCCCTTGCTGAGGCAGTGCAAGAAGAAGTTCCCAGCAGTACTGTGAAATCTGCTGGGCCCCAAGCAGCTTCTCCCCAAAAGGGCCCTGAAGCCACCACAGTCAGCCCAGTAAGGAGCAGCTTGGCTCTGGCGTGGCAACTACTCACACACTAAACTTCTACTCTCCTCCCTCTAAATTCTAGCAGACTGTAGTAGCTCCTAATTCAAGACTAGCATATATGCATCATGCATCAACAAGACCTATTAACTATAATTATTTACTGACAACTAATCTTAGAATTGTGTTTGTAGGAGAAAATTACAGTATATAGATTAATAAAATAATTCACTTCAAACATCCCTGAGGCATTGTTCATGTAGTGAGTAACTTCAAACACTGATACAAATAAACCCTGACTTTATATATTACTTATAATTTACTTATTCTTTGTGGTGAATAACTTGAGACACTGATACAAATAAACCCTGACTTTATATATTACTTATAATTTACTTATTCTGTGTAGTGAGTAACTTGAAGTACTGATATGAATAGATTCTAATTCTTTACATTCTATATGATTGATTTGATTTGTTTCACGTAGATCAATGTATCATTGGAGGTGATATTCCGTTTTGATTTTGTTTTGTTATTATTTCTCCTTAATTTTATCCCCATTTAAACTAGGTGGATATGATGTACAGAGCTACAAACAACATAGAGTACAGTACCTGCCTTTAACTTGAGTAATTTGATTTAGATTTTGTACTGAATAAATAAAGGATACTATGGTCTTCATTTAAACATTTTCTTTCAAATAAATGGTCACCAGTTAAGGCATCATGTCAATGATTCACTTATGGCACAATTTTGATTTTGAAGCGCCTTACTGTACGTGTATGTGTGGGTGAAAAGAAGATGATTGTGGTGCATATGTAGGCCCAAAACTTGATGTCATGCCAACTTAGAATGTATTGGCATGACACTGATTTATGTTATTATTATTATTTTTTTTTGCCTACAGACACATTATTAATGTCATCTTTACAAACATGCACCCACCACCTGCCTCTGCCTGTCTACACACACACACACACACACACACACACACACACACACACACACACACACACACACCAATGTATGTAATAAGTTATTTATGTCCAATGTATATTTTCAGCCTTCGGGCTGCAAACTTTTTCAATAAACCGTTTATTATTATTATTATTACAGTGGTCCCTCGGTTAACGAGCGCCTCGGTTAACGAGATTTCGGTTAACGAGTTACCTTCCATAAGATTCTTAACTTCGGTTAACGAGCAATCCCTCGATTAACGAGTTTCTTACGACCCAACCTGAACATGATTTCGCTTGCATTTGGCAGTCCACCAGCTGTAGTATTAGTCCGCCAATACAGTAATCGGTTCTAGGGCTTAAATTCCTTACCATTTTAGCAAATATCAAGAAGTTTATACTATTCAATAATTTTAAAAGTTAAATATTAAATTTGTACTCATTTTAACAATTATTGAATATAATTGAAGGTAATGAAACTAGTTTTATGCGTGCCATCCAGCCTCTCAACACACCATACAGGCGTCAGTCTTTGTATCTTTTCAGTGGAGGTAACATCTTGCTTGAGACTCTCTTCAACTAAATGCCTTTTTTTCTGTTTTTGCAAGCAAATTATTGGTCATTTTGAAATTTATTTTACATATTGACAATATATAATGCAGTGCAGTGTTGATTTAAAGAAAATAATCTTGAATTGCACCATGAGAACTAAAATTTTATGGGTGAAATGGCGCCATGGGGTGACTTCTCTTCCACCCCAATGCCTTCTCTTCTCCCTTCTCCACCCCCATTCTAATTCCCATCATCATCATCCAGGAGCCTTCTACATACACACCTCAAAGTAAGTGTACTTTTCTACCTTTTTTGTTGAATTTAGGCAATTTTTGGTGAGCAGGAACCAATTACCCAAAACCCATTGAAACAATGGTTTCGGTTAACGAGTTTTTCGGTTAACGAGCAACCTTCTAGAATGGATTGTGCTCGTTAACCGAGGGACCATTGTATTATTACACACACACACACACACACACACACACACACACACACACTTCAAAAATAAAATTGTTCTGCCTTTGAAATTTTGATATGATTTCTTAAATTTATTTAGAAAATGGTTTCTGACATGTTCTGGCAGTGTAAGAGATTTATTAATGTTTCATGTCAAACCAAATCTAAATATATTTATGATGGCTTGGGAGGAGTCTCGGTGCATTTGATTCACCACAAATAAAGGGGATGAATTAAAGAATACTAAACCTGTACTGTAGTTAATTTTTGTGTTATTTTTCACCTGTGCTGTGTCTTGTGTTGTAGGGATAATCATCCAATTAAGCTGTAAAAAGCAATGGGCTCATTTGAAGCAAGTATAACTTTTTATAATTATTTCTTATAAATTCATTGAAATTAGTGTATACATACTGTATACTGTATGTTAGTCTGACTGGGGTTTTTTAATTTAAGATGTCCTTTGCTACTGTAAGTTAACTGAACTTTCCTTAAAATAGGTTAAGTAAGTTAGGTTAGGTTAACTGGGATAGTATTTGTAGTCTTCACTTACAGTTTGTGGATTATTTGTGTAAAGTGAGAAAATAAAAAATTATATTGAAGTTATTAATTGCTAGGACATGATCATCCCTAAACCACATGATGTAGCTTTGTACAGTACAGTAAAGTACTAATCTATATTCAGTAATATTTTTTTTTGCTGTTGTATTTTTTAGTCACATCTTGTTCCACTGGCATCGTGTACACCAGTGTAGTCATAGATATACTGTACAGGGTGTCCATAAATTATCTCAACCATTTTAAAACTTAAAGGTGTTCGTGGCACAATGGTAACATGTGTACCTTCACAAATATGTCCAAGGTTTGAGTCCTGCATGGCCCATATACACATGAGAAGGGTGTTATCCAGTGTGACCCTCATTACCAAACATCACAGGTTTCCAAGACTCCAGTTTACTCCTATACTAAGACTGGATAGACCAACTGAATGGTTGATAAGTAGGGAAATAAAAAAAAAAAACCTAATACTGTACTGTAACCTCAAAAATACTGTAGATAGAACACACTAATTTTATAACACTTGACAACCATCTCATAGATTTTTTCATGTGTTGTTACACTCACACATACGCACTGTGTTCTATCTATGATAATTTTCATGTTATTTAGTTTTGAAACAGGTGAGATAATATATGAACACCTATTGATTCCCCTTTTACTTACTAAGTGGCAGAGACATCAGGGAGGTTAGAGTGTGTGTATATAATGTACAGTACAGTACTGTACTGTATATGCATGATATTATTCTGTTCAGTGATGGTCATGGGTACTAAGTAATTGTCAGTTGTAAAATGTTCTTGATAAATGATGATATAGTACGTAGGTCAAAGTGATATAGGTAATATTGACCGCTTCACTATGAGGATGCCGCTTTTAATAATTTATTTAGTTAAGCCAGGTGATTTTATTCAGCTCAGAGGGACACCTGTCCATAAGGGGTTATGATGAAATGCTACAGTACTTGATGTTGATTGGTTATTGGGGGATGTCACAGTACAGTAGAGTGGTTATTGGAGGATGTCACAGTAGAGTGGTTATTGGAGGATGTCACAGTACAGTAGAGTGGTTATTGGAGGATGTCACAGTACAGTAGAGTGGTTATTGGGTGATGTCACAGTACAGTAGAGTGGTTATTGGGGATGTCACAGTACAGTAGAGTGGTTATTGGAGGATGTCACAGTACAGTAGAGTGGTTATTGGGTGATGTCACAGTACAGTAGAGTGGTTATTGGGTGATGTCACAGTACAGTAGAGTGGTTATTGGAGGATGTCACAGTACAGTAGAGTGGTTATTGGAGGATGTCACAGTACAGTAGAGTGGTTATTGGGGATGTCACAGTACAGTAGAGTGGTTATTGGAGGATGTCACAGTACAGTAGAGTGGTTATTGGAGGATGTCACAGTACAGTAGAGTGGTTATTGGAGGATGTCACAGTACAGTAGAGTGGTTATTGGAGGATGTCACAGTACAGTAGAGTGGTTATTGGAGGATGTCACAGTACAGTAGAGTGGTGTAGGGTTATGTGATATTATGTTGTCTAGCACTTAGGATGGGATTGATGGAAACTCTAGGTGGTGGTTTTCTTATATAATATAAGTTATATGGTAGACAGTCTGGTGCTGGAGATGCCGTGTGGTGAGGAGCTGCTCAGTAGACACGTTCGGTGAGTAGCGTGCTGAAGGAGGTAGACGAGCAGGAGCTTCGTTAGAGGAGATGTTGCCTGTTGCTGGCCTCCAGGTTGAATGAGAGCTGGACAGCGAGGAGCTTGCTTGGAGGAGGTGTTGCATTGGAATGCGGATACGCAGTTGTAGGGGAGACGTCCACTACAATACTCCCCCTCCCCTCCCGGCGCGGCAGGAGGCTGGATGTTGTCCGGGTTGTGTCCCACACATAACACATACCGGGCAGGTGTACGTACGACTCGGCCGCTACGTGTAACAACTCCGTCTAGTGACACAAAACCTGTGGGAGAATTAGGAGGAGAAAGAGGGTTTGGGATTAGAGGAGGTTGTACAAGCAATGGTTGTTGTGCTCCTGCTGCTGCAGGGGCTGCGTCAGGAGGAGGGTCCATGGCAGGAGCAGGTTCTATGATAGGTGCAGGTTCTATGTCAGGAGGAGGGTCCATGGCAGGAGCAGGTTCTATGACAGGAACAGGGTGTACATGAGGGTGAAAAGAGGGTGCCCAGAAATGTCGTGGGCGTGGTGTTGCTGCCGGTGGTAACTGCGGGTAGACTGGTGCAGGCGTAGTTTGTTGATGGTGCTGCTGGGCTGGGGGCCCGACGGGTAAGGTGGCCGGTTTGACTCGGTCTATGCTGACGGTGTCATGTCTGCCATTCCGGATAATCGTCAGGAACTTTGCTGAACGGGTAACCACCTGGAAGGGTCCATCGTAGGGGCGTTGTAATGGGTTGCGGTGAGCATCATGCCTGACGAAAACATACTCGGCTGTGAGTAGTACAGGAGGGATGTGTTCAGGGCGCCGAGGAGG